TTAAAACAAACAACAACAGTGATAATGGACATCCCTGCCTGGTACCTTTCTCTATTGTGAAAACCTCTGACAACCCTCCATTAACAATAAGTTGTGCCGTTTGTTTTTGATATATTACCGTAAGAGCTTGTACTATCTTTTCACCAAAATTCATCTCCTCCATTACTCTTAACATAAAATGCCAATTCAATTGATCAAAAGCCTTTTCAGCATCTAAAAATATCAACCCTGCAGGGACTTGGTTGTTCTTATCTAAATATTCTAATAAGTTAATAATTTGTCTAACATTATTTTTCATATACCTTCCAGTTATAAACCCAAATTGATCTTTATGCACAAGATGATGCACAACCCTCATAAGCCTATTTACTAAAATTTTTACAAATATCTTATAATCCACATTTAGAAGAGATATAGGCCTATAATTCTTTGGTAAAGTAAGATCTTGATCCTCTTTTGGAATCAGTGATATAAAAGCACTACGCCATGAAGGAGGAATCTCTAGACCCTGTAAAATATCATTAAAAAGATTACCTAATGGCTGAATCATCTCCTCCATTAAAGCTTTATAATAAACAGCTGTTAACCCATCCGTACCCGGTGCTTTCCCTGGTTTCAATTGCTGAATTGCTAATGCAATTTCCTCCTTAGTAATTAAGCCATTAATTTCCTGCTTCTGATCCTCTGTCAATTTGGGAAAACTAGCCTCGTTTAAGTATTTATTTATATCTAAAATTTGAACATTGGTAGATGTATATAATTTTTGGTAATACTCCAAAAAAGATTTCTTAATCAATTCCTTCTGAGAAACTAGTTTACCCTGATATTTATTTTTATCTATTATTCTCTGTCTCTGTTTCTTTCTTAGCTGATAAGCCAACCATCTCCCTGGCTTGTTAGCATTACAAAATGTATTTTGTTTCATAAACAATAAGTTGGTTGCAGCTTGATCTGCTAACAACATATTAAATTGTGTCCTTAATAACTTTACAGATTCTTTAATATTTTCATCAGAAGGATTTAAAATCAAAGACTTTTCTTTTAATTTAATTTCATCTTCCAATTCTTTACGTTTCTGAGTCTGCTTTCGCTTATGATAATTGTTCATTTTTATCAAAATACCACGCATAAATGCTTTACCTGCATCCCATACCATTGACATTGAAGTCCCCTTATACATATTTAAAGCAAAATAATCCTTTAAACACTCCTTTAACTTTTGAACATTCTTTTCTTGTCTAAATAAATTTTCATTCACTCTCCAGGATCTTCTCTCCTCTTTTTCTTGAGTCAGCTCCATCCAAACTGGGCTATGATCTGTCAGCGACCTAGGAAAAATCTTTACATTCTTTACTCTATTATATAAGTCCGTTGTAATAAAAAAAAGTCAATTCTTGAGAAGGATTGGTGTCTATCTGAGAAAAAGATGAAATCTCTCTCCTCTTGATTACATTCCCGCCAATAGTCCCTTAGTTCCCAGTCCTCTTTCATGTCAAAAAAGGCTTTAGGTAATTTTGCATGTTTAAAAAAGGGAGAAGAACCTTTCTTGTCCCTTTGTGTATCTAAGACACCATTCCAATCACCCATTAATACCACGGATCTATAGTCCAGCAAAGTTATTTTTTGATGTAACAACCTATAAAATTGTTCCTGTTGCTGATTTGGTGCATAAAGTCCCACTATAAGTACTTTCTTACCATATAAGCCAAGTTCAATCATCACATATCTTCCTTGGGGATCCGATTCTACCAGACAAGCTGGTAAATTTTGCTTCACGTAGATAACAACTCCCCCCTTTTTCCCCGGAGCAGAAGATACAAAATGAGATCCCAAATGAGCATTAACTAAATATTTCTGATCCTTAAGTAAAATATGAGTTTCCTGTAAGCAAATAACATCATTGTTATGTTGCTTCAAATAATAGAAGATTTTTTTCCTTTTCTGAGGAGAATTCAATCCGTTAACATTCCAGGTCAGAAACTTTGCCATCTCCCTTAGCCAGGAGCCCGGAGAAGACACCTTGGAGATCTGCCATTGCTGCATGTGTTGCATAACTCTTGGGTCTTGCTCCTCCCACCGGCAGTGATGCACTTTCAGAAGAAACTTCTTTAGCCTCTTTCTTACGTTGCTCCTTCTCTTTGTGTCTATAAGCTGCACGGGTCATTCTCTGCTCTTTAACCTCCGTTTGACGTTGCCATTCAGCTTGCAGCATCCCAGCAGAGACCAAACCTAATGCCTCAGATTGCTGCTCCGACTCTTTGCCACTCAAAGATTTCTGAACAAGTGGAGCTGAGCCTGCACCCAGGACCGTATTGTACAACTCTCTGGCTTTGTCAACCGTATTCAATCTGTAACGTGTCCCCGCATGGCTCAGAACAATACCCATCGGGATTTCCTATCTGAATGGACAAACAAGGTTTTGAGGTCATTTTTGTAAATGGGAAATGTCTCATCAAAAGGAATGGGAATATTTGTGCAGAAGGCATAAAGGAAGGTAATCTATATGTTTTGCAGGGACAAAAGGTTCAATGTTCCCATATATTTAAGAATGTTGCAGAGCATGATTCATGTGTTCATCTTCTGCATAGAAGACTTGGCCATGCAAGCTTTAAAGTTTTGCAGCAAATGCAAAATTTTGCAGAAGGGCTAAATTTGAAGGGATGCAAAACATACTTGGACTGTGCAGTATGCAAAGCATCAAAGTCAAAGGCATTCCCAGTTAGTAAATATAGCACAAGACAAACAAAAAGAGTTCTAGAGCTGGTCCATGCAGATCTGGTGGGACCTATGCAAGCCAGTTTGGGAGGAGCAAAATATGCACTGGTAATTGTTGATGATTATAGCAGGTATTCATTTTGCTATTTGCTTAGAGCAAAGACAGAGGTGCTACAACAATTCAAACAGTGGGTAAGTTTTGTAGAGAGAAGGTACAGACAACAAGTGTGTCAGTTGCAAACTGACAGAGGTACTGAATTTATGTCAACTAAATTCCAACAATGGTTGGGGCAGTTGGGGATAAGACACAGACGTACAAATCCTTACACAGCAGCAGAGAATGGTGTAGCTGAAAGAAGGAATGGTGTTTTGCAAACAATGAAAGATTCATTATTGGAGGATTCTGGTTTGAGCAGGTCATATTAGGGAGAAGCCATATTGACTGCCAATTATATAGTTAACAGGCTGTGGAGTTCCTCCATTAATAATACTCCATATGCCATTCTATATGGGAGAAAGCCATCACTGGCATATTTGAGAATTTTTGCAAGTACTGCATGGGTACATATTCCGAAAGTAATCAGAAGAAAGGGACAGCAAAAGGCAAGAAAGCTCAGGTTTGTGGGCTATGAGCCAGGGTCAAAAGGATATCGCTTTAGCGATGGAAGTAAAAGAATTATAATTTCAAGGTCTGCTAATTTTGCAGAACAAAATTGGGACAGAATTAATGCAAATTCTGGGTATGTCTCACTTAATGACGGTGATCTGTTTAGTGACAATAATTCATCTAATGATGAAAAAATCATTATAAAAGATGTCAATGTTCAGGGAGGAGAAGCTGAACAAGACATGAAACTAGAAAGAATTGAGACATAGGAGCAGTTAATACCACATAGGTCAGAGTGATGTAACAAAGGAATTCCGCCTGACAGGTATTCTGCCAGCAAGGTAAAGGTTTGCAATGTGTGGTATGAGCCAAGAAGTTATAAAGAAGTGTTGGCATTACCAAAGGCTGAACAAGAAAGATGGAAGGAGGCCATGGATAAAGAGATGAAATCCATGGAAGACCATGAAGTATTTAAATCAGTGACTTTGCCACAGGGAACCAAAGCTGTGGGTTGTAAATGGGTATATAAGAAAAGGGTATTGCCAAATAATGATGTACAGTATAAGGCCAGGTTAGTGGCACAAGGTTTTTTGCAATTAAAGAATGTATTAATAGGTCTGATGTCTCTTCCTGTCATGAAGGGAGGAGTGTTGGAATATTCATGAACAGGAAGAGTCATGTGGTAACTCAGTCAGCCAATGGGAAGAAAATGCTACTGAGTCTGTGCAAAAGAGTATTGAGTTAGGAGCTGGATTTCCAGTCTCAAGGTTTGTCTCTGGTCTGTCTCTGTAAGAAATCTTCATTAAGCTATGTTGCTGTAAAGAAGAATGGTATTGTAAATATTTTTATATAAATATAAAGTTATTTGAATCAGCTAAATGCAGTCAACTGGGAGAGCTTCTGATTTATTTATCACCAATAGAGAAATTAAAATTCTCTAACAATTCCATATATAGCATTTTTTTCTTATCAACTTATGTTATTTTTGTAAGTCATCTTATTGATTCACCATATATCTTATTTTTTATAAATCTTGTTTAAGCTCAATTTCTCCATAATATTCAAACAATTCTTATCAATCCTAATTTTCTCAGTAATTAACATCTAAAGATCCAAATTTTCCACTTAAATATATCATCCCAGTATTTTCATATTTCATATATTATAGAAATACTATACTATTTATCTATCATAAAATCTACCTTTAACATCTTTTCTAATCAATTTATATTTCACCTATTTATAAAAATTGATTGAATCACTATATATCCTTTTTTCAAAGTTTTTCTTAAGCCTAATTTCCCCTTAATATTTCAATCATTCCTTAATCCTAAATCTTTTCAATTTGTCTTTAAAGTTCAAACTTTTCCTTCACTTTCATCATCCCAATATTTTTACATTTTGTATCTTATCAAAAAATACTGTATTACTTACATCTCTTATCCCACTTATGCTAAAGCCCTATTTAGCCATATTCAAACAAGTGTTTGCTTGTATAATATTCCATCTGGTAGGGCGAGTCAAGTCTCTTAAGCCCATCTCTAATCTTCTTCCTTTGCCAAATTGTTTTCCAAATTAATAATTTCGATTTATCAAACAGTTCTTGTATTTTTGTAGTTGTTGTTAGGCATAGAGGATACATAATATGTAAAATGCATGCTTTTTGTCTCCCAAACAGTGATTCTCCCAGCAGTGTCGATTTTGTTAAGTCTTCTTTCTTCTCAGGTTTGTTTTGATGTTCTAATGCATAAGGTATCTTTTCCATATTTATTGTTGCATCCAAATCTTGTGAGTTTTTTCTTGTTTGTATTAAGTTATAATTCCCTTCATTTGTGACTTTGCCAATTAAGTCATTTTTTTCTAGTTCACATTCTGTTATCTGATTTGTTTATTCATTCTTTACCATCATTCTTTGAATGTTTTTTGATTGTAAATTTAAGTTAGAAGTGTATTCATTTATGTTGTCAAAGTTATGTTTAATCTCCTCATGGTTTAGAGCTATTGTGATTTGTATCTGTTGTAGCATTGCATAAATTGCTTCTTGGAAAGTATTTGTCTTGTCTTGAAATGTTGCTTCTAGAGGTCTTTGATCTTTCCAGCTAAATCCTTCAAGAGTAAATATAAAGTGTGGTTTTCTATCATTTTTTGATGATTGTGTCATACCCATGTTTATCTCCCCCTGTCGAGTAATTTGTCATAAATGCCATAGTCTCTGTAATTAGCCTTGTCAAGCTGACCAGAACTCAAAATCCAAACAGTCCAATTTTGTATATTCTTGTCTTTATATATAATTTTTATAAGCCACTGTAATTTTCAGTTGTCAAGGTTTCAGTAAAATCAATGTTTTATAACAGTTCTTTCTTTCAGGAGTCAATTGTCAACCAGTCAGAATTGCAATTCAATATATTTAGCTACCTTAAATCCTTCCTGTAACTTTCCCTCTCAAAAATTAGTCATAGATCAAAGTTTTTAAACAATTCATAAATTTAGATCACAAAGTATTTATTTTCCTTCAAACACTTTCCAGTCTTTCCAGTATAGCTGGCCCAGTATACAATCTCTTTTTTGTTCCCTGGCAACTATCTTCTTAAAGATTATTAGAGTTCATGGGAACAGATTTTTCTTTGTTTCTGGGCATTGTCTTTAATGTGCTATATTCTAATTGTCATTAGATGTCAGCAAATATTTGTTTTCCAGCTCTTTCAGACAAGAAGTTCTTCTTATTTTTCTTTTTTATATATAATTTCATTAAAATCCTTTAGAATATAATCTTAGCAGTTTGTTTTAGTTTCTAAGTTTGATCAGTTTGTAGTACCGTAAATGCCGGCGTATAAGGCGACTTCCGCGAGCGCTGAAATCGGCGCCAAAGACGGGGTCGTCTTATACGCCGGAAATACTGGTAGTTTCCGGCGTATAAGACGACGTTCTAGGAATGCGGCCCGGCTATAAAGACGGGGGTCATCTTATACGCCGGGTCGCCTTGTACGCCGGCATTTACGGTATTTTAAATTTAATTTCAATATGTTTCTTTCCTTCTTAAAGGTTTATTCACCGCTTCCATCTATGGGGGAATGGGAATGTAGTCCCCTCCCCTCACTTTCGGAGGTTTTTTGCTTTGGGGCTCTTTCCCAGGGACTTAATGGCAAAATAAGGGAGAGAAGATCAAATACTCCCACCCCCACAACAGCCCTGTGAGGTGGGTTGGGCTGAAAGAGAGTGATTAGCCTAAAGTCATTCAGCTGGCTTCCATGGCTAAGGCAGAACAAGAACTCACAATCTCCTGCTTTCTAGTCTGGTGCCCTAATCATTAGGCCAGTGATGGCTAACCTTTTAGAGACCAAGTGCCCCAAAACTGGCCCCGCCCCCACTCCACCCCCTGCCCTGCTCCCACCCTGCCTGCCCGCAGGGCCACTCACCGCCTCCAGGGCCTGCCACAGATCACCCAGGCAGCCCAGCAACCCCATTGCGGCCATGCCCTCTGCCCGCACCCCGCAGCATCAACTGTGCGCTATGGGGTGTGAGGGCAGAGTCTTGTCTATGCTGCCTGGCTGCCATGTCATTGGCTGCACTGCTCCACGTGGGCCAGGCTCGGGGGCGACTCTCCTCCTGGGAGGCTGCTGGTGAGGAGGGGGTCACAGGAGGAGGTAAGGCTGGGGCAACGGCCCGTGTGCTCACAGAGAGGGCTCCGAGTGCTGCCTCTGGCATGCGTGCCATAGGTTCGCCACCACTGCACTAGGCCAAGCTAATCTATTGAATATGATATAATATTTATATTTATGATATAAATATTCCTTCCTGGCAGGAAAGCTGTCATTTCTGCCAAGATATTTTTATGCCCAGTGATTATATTCTCTATGAACCATTAATCCAAATGTTACTGTTTTTCCCTCAGTTACTCTTTTTGTAAAAATAGATAGCTATGCAAAATATAACCTACTCTTATACTTGTAGCATTAAAACACTTATAATCTATATAAAACTTTAATATGTCACAAGATGTTAGTTCAAGTAAAAATCTTCTATTTATAATTCAGCTGATCTCTGAGAGCAGAGAAACCATTTTCATAAAGAAATCTGATTTTGTTTCTCCTCAAAATATTGAAATAGTAAAATATTTTAACAACTTAGTGTATTTTAATAATTTTGATTATTTGTATTTAATCTGAAGCTGAGACTCTCCTGATGTGCTGTACTTCTACAACCAGAAACCTAGGCTTTTGAAGTTAGATGAAGTCGATCACTTCTGGAGGATAGCAGATCTTGACGAATGGTTAGAAACTTAATGTTCTTTTCTGGCACACTGAAAATTCTTACTTACAGCTAAAACTACTGCAGGAGATGAAAGTATCATTTCCTAAATGATGGAAATTAAGATTAAATGACAAAAACAAATAATATTGTTTTTTTTTATTGAAAATTTTTGAAATTTTTACAAATAAAGAAAAAGGAAAAAGAAAAAGAAAAAACAACCCTACCCAACCCACCCCAACCCTCCCACTCCATCCCCCCAACCTTCCCAGAGCTGAATATAGGCTTAATTAGAATTTCTACAAATCTTAAAAAAAAAATTAAAAAAGTATAGACCATAGATAAATCTAAATACATTACATAAACAACTTATAAAATGATTAACAATAATATATAAGTGAAACAATCCATAAAATATTAAAATTTATATATAAGTTATTGAAAAACTAAGTAATATTTTTATATCCAACTTACGTTGTATAAAATCTATCCATTTTTCCCATGCCGCAAAAAACTTCTCTTGCGATTGGTCCTTTAACAAAGCCGAAATCTTTGCCATTTCCGCCAAATAAGAAACTTTAAAAAACCACTCTTGCAAGGTAGGCAGAGATTCCTTCTTCCAATATTGCCCTACTAACAACCTTGCGGCTGAAATTAAATTTAACTTAAATTAAATCAGTATAACCTCCTTAGTATCACAATCAGTAATAATACCTAACAAAAACAATTGTGGAGTAAATTTTACCCTCCTTCTAAAGATTCTTTGAATATTCCACCATATCTTAATCCAAAAAGTTTTTATACTTTTACATGACCACCAAATATGATAATAAGTAGCATCCAAACAACCACATCTCCAACATTTAGGCTGTAAGTCAGGATACATACGAGACATTTTTTGTGGATCAAGGTGCCATCTATAAAACATTTTGTAAAAATTCTCCCTTAAGTTCTGGGCTTGTGTAAATTTAACATTCTTCACCCAGATGGTTTCCCAGGTATCTAGTAGAACTGGTTCACCAAAATTTTGTGCCCATTTAATCATACATTCTTTAATTAGTTCTGGTTCTGAGTCCAGTTCTACTAGCACCCCATAAATTCTCTTAATGTGAGTTCGCCTTTGATCTTTTACTTGTTTAAAGAAATTTTCATCTTCTCTGAGCAGACCCACATTACGATCTATCTTCCATCTATCAGCTATTTGTCTATACTGAAACCATGAATATATAATATTTTCATGTGCTAAATCTTCCAAAGATTTTAACTGCCAATTTTTACCATCCCACCTGAGTAATTGCGCATAAGAAACACTATCCATCTTAACTCCTCTCCTTATCCCCTCTATTGCATGCCAAGGTATAGCCCATAATGGTATTTTAAGGTCACTTCTATAATATTTCCTCCAAACCCGAAGTAAAGAGATCCTTATAATATGAGATTTAAAAACCCGGTCAACTTTTTTATTAAAAATTAAATAGGCATGCCATCCAAAAAGTAAATCCCAACCCTCCAAGTGGAGTATTTCTACATTTGTTAGATTAACCCAGTCACTAATTAATGTTAAAACCACAGCATCGTAATACAATTTCAGATTCGGTACCTTGAGTCCACCTCTCTCACGAATATCTTGCATAATTTTAAGCTTTACTCTTGGTTTTTCCCCTGCCCAAATAAATTTATTGATACCTTTCTGCCATTCATTTAGGTTAACCTCATTCTTTAAAATAGGTATCATTTGAAATAAAAAGAGAAACCTTGGCAGGACATTCATTTTAATCACGGCAATTCTTCCCAAAAGAGATAATTGGAACTTCTCCCAATTTTTCAAGTCTCTTTGTACCCTGACCCACAACCTTTCATAATTGTTTTTATACAATTTAAAATTAGAAACAGATAAAATAACCCCCAAGTATTTTACCTTATCAACAACCTCGAAATCTGTCAAGTTAACCAAAGTCAGCTTTTCCAAATTAGTCATATTTTTGGGTAATATTTTAGTCTTATTATTATTAATTTTAAAACCCGAAACCCGTCCATATTGGTATATCAATTGTCATAGCTCTACTACAGAGTGAGTAAGTTGGGACAGGGTAACCACCAAGTCATCTGCAAAAGCTCTTAGTTTATATTCTTTTTTATTAACTTCTATTCCTTTTATTTGCTGTGATTCTCGAATTTTAATTAGCAATATTTCCAAAGTTAAAATAAACAGCAAAGGTGACAATGGACATCCCTGTCTAGTCCCCTTTTCTATTGTGAAAACCTCTGACAAACCCCCATTAACTATAAGTTGTGCCGTTTGTTTTTGATAAATAGCACCAAAAGCTTGTGAAATTTTTTCTCCAAAATTCATATTCTCAATTAATCTTAACATAAACTGCCAATTCAATTGATCAAAAGCTTTTTCAGCATCTAAAAATAACAGTCCTGCAGAAACTTGATTATTCTTATCTAAATATTCTAATAAGTTAATGATTTGTCTAACATTATTCTTCATATACCTACCAGTTATAAAACCTTATGTATAAGCTGATGCAAAACCCTCATAAGTCTATTAGCTAAGATTTTTGCAAAAATCTTATAATCTACATTTAAAAGAGATATAGGTCTATAATTCTTCGGTAAAGTAAGATCTTGATCTTCTTTTGGAATTAAAGATATAAAGGCTCTACCCCAAGACGGGGGAATCTCTAAACCCTGTAATATATTGTTAAAAAGCTCACATAAAGGTTGAATCATCTCTTCTACCAAAGTTTTATAATAAATAGATGTCAGGCCATCCGTACCCGGTGCTTTACCTAATTTTAATTCCTTGATGGCTGTCACAATTTCATCACTAGTAATTAAACCATTAATTTCTTGCTTCTGATCTTCTGTTAGTTTGGGGAAGTTGGCTTCATTTAAATAATTATTTATATCCAAAGTTTGTACATTAGTACTCTTATATAGCTTTTGATAATAATCTAAAAAGGATTTCTTAATCAGCTCCTTCTGATACACCAATTTACCATTATAATTTATTCTATCTATAATTCTCTGTCTCTGTTTCTTTCTCAATTGGTAAGCCAACCATCTCCCTGGTTTATTGGCATTGCAAAATGTATTTTGTTTCATATACAATAAGTTAGTTGCAGTTTGATCAGCCATCAACATATCAAATTGTGTTTTAAGCAATTTTATAGATTCTTTAACCTTTTCATCTGTGGGATTTAAAATCAAAGATTTTTCTTTTAATTTAATCTCATCTTCCAGATCCTTACGTTTCTGAATCTGCTTTTGTCTCTGAGCGCTATTCATTTGTATCAAAATCCCACGCATAAAAGCTTTACCTGCATCCCATACCATTGAGATTGAAGTTCCCTTATGCATATTTAAAACAAAATAATCCTTTAAATGCTCCTTTAATTTTTGAATATTCTTTTCTTGTCTAAATAAATTCTCATTCACCCTCCACAATCTCCTCTCCTCTTTTTCATCAACCAACTCCATCCAGACTGGACTGTGATCCGTCAATGTCCTAGGAAAAATTTTCACATTCTTTACCCTAAAATATAAATCAGTTGTAATAAAAAAAAATCAATTCTTGAAAAAGATTGATGTCTGTCTGAAAAGAAAGTGAAGTCTCTCTCCTCCTGGTTGCGTTCACGCCAGTAATCTCACAACTCCCAGTCCTCTTTCAAGTCAAAAAAAGCTTTGGGTAGTTTAGCCTGTTTGAAAAAAGTGGAAGATCCTTTTTTGTCTCTTTGTATATCTAACACACCATTCCAATCTCCCATTAATATCACAGATCTATAATCCAACAAAGTTAGTTTCTGATGCAGCAATCTATAAAATTGTTCCTGTTGTTGGTTTGGTGCATACAGTCCAACTATAAGTATTTTCTTACCATATAAACCAACTTCAATCATAACATATCTCCCTTGAAGATCAGATTCTACCAAACAGGCTGATAAATTTTGCTTAACATAAATGACTACATCCTTTTTTCCCAGGAGCAGAAGATACAAAATGAGATCCCAGACGAGCATTGACTAAATATTTTTGGTCTTTAAGTAAAATATGTGTTTCCTGCAAGCAAATAATGTCATTATTATGTTGTTTTAAGTAATGAAAGATTTTCTTTCTCTTTTGCGGGGAATTAAGGCCGTTAGCATTCCAAGTCAGGAGCTTTACCATCTCCCTTAACCAGAAGCCTGGAGAAGACTGCCTGAAGATCTGCCATTGAAGAATGTGCTGCAGAACTCTTGGGTCTTGCTCCTCCCACCGGCAACGAAACACTTTCTTGAAGAGATTCTTTAACTTCTTTCTTCTGTTGTTCCTTTTCCTTGCGTCTATGTGCTGCCCGGGTCATTCTTTGCTCTTTGATCTCTGTTTGTCGCAACCATTCCATCTGTAATTTTCCAGCAACCATCACACCTAGTCCTTCAGACTGCTGTTCCGCCTCTTTACCATCCAAGACTTTCTGCATCATAGATGATGATGAGCCTGCTCCCAGGACCGAAGTATAAAACTCCTTTGCTTTAGTGACTGTGTTAAGTCTATAACGCGTCCCCGCATGGCTCACAGCAATACCCATTGGAAGCTCCCATCTAAATGGCATCATTCTTGTTTTAAGTTCGTTGGCTAAAAAAGCAAAATCTTTTCTATTTCTTAGAATTTTGGATGGGATCTCCTTTAAAATGATAACATCTTGAGCAGCAATCTGAAACCTCTTATTATAGAAAGCTTGTATAATTTCATTGCGCAGAGTTCTCTTTGCAAAATAAATCACCACATCTTTTGGTAAGTTCTTCTGCTTTGCGACCCAGGAGTTAACTCTGTAAATTTTTTCCACTTCTCTAAGTATTCCCTCTTTCTCCCTATTCAAAGCAACGGCAAGATCATTAACCACCATCTCTATCAAATCTTGATTCATATCCTCTTTCAGGCCCCTGATTCTTAAGGCATATTCCATTTCCCTATACTGAGACATAACAATATCATCTTGTGAAATTTCCATCTTTTTTTCCATACCTTCAAATT